AGAGAAGTGGAGACGTGTTCTCTGGAGTGACGAATCACGCTTCTCTGTCTGGCAATCCGATGGACGTATCTGGGTTTGGCGGTTGCCAGGAGAACAGTACTTGCCTGACTGCATTGTGCCAAGTGTAAAGTTTGGTGGAGGGGGAATTATGGTGTGGGGTTGTTTTTCAGGGGTTGGGCTTGCCCCCTCAGCTCCAGTGAAGGAAACTCTTAAAGCATCAGCATACCAAGACATTTTGGACAATTTTATGCTCCCAACTTTGTGGCAACAGTTTGGGGATGGCCACTTGCTGTTCCAACATGACTGCGCACCAGTGCACAAAGCAAGGTCCATAAACACATGGGTAGGCAAGTTTGGGGTGGAGGAACTTGACTGGCCTGCACAGAGTCCTGACCTCAACCCGATAGAACACCTTTGGGATGAATTAGCCCCGGTTCACACCTAGGCGTTTTTGAGCAGTTCGAAAAGCACTTTTAACTGCCCAGCATAAGAAATCCCATGATTTTCAATAGCTCTGGTTCACACCTGAGCAGAAAAACGCCAGACGCCTGAAAAGATACAGGAGCTTCTTTGGGCAGTTAAAAGAGCTTTTCCTCCCCATAGACTTCATTGGAAATGCCCATAAGCACGCAACAGAAGCATGTTGCACATTTTCGTGAGCGTTCTTGCGTGTCTATACGTGCGTTCTTCCATTGCACAAAATGGTTTATGAGCTGTCAATCAAAACGCATGTCTTCATGAACGCGTATACATATGTGCAAAACACGCATAAACGCACAAATAACCGCATGCTGCTAACGCGCAAAAACGTTGCCGCATAGGTGTGAATTGGGGCTTAGAGTGGAGACTGCGAGCCAGGCCTTCTCGTCCAACATCAGTACCTGACCTCACAAATGCGCTTCTGGAAGAATGGTCAAACATTCCCATAGACACACGCCTAAACCTTGTGGACGCCTTCCCAGAAGAGTTGAAGCTGTTATAGCTGCAAAGGGTGGGCCAACCCAATACTGAACCCTACAGACTAAGACTGGGATGCCATTAAAGTTCATGTGCGTGTAAAGGCAGGCGTCCAAATACTTTTGGCAATATAGTGTATATGTTTTTTTAGACAGGAAATAGACAGGATGTGCGGGGTCTGACCAGGGCTGCGTGCGGGTCTTACCATGGCGGCGCGGTCTCACCAAGGCTGCAGGGGCGGTGGGAAGGAGGAGATGTCCAGCTGGACCAGTGCTGTAAACAGGTGCTGTGAGGTCCCCAGCAAAAATTTAAAGCGCTGGTATTGGTGCTTAGTATTGGGGCATTTTCATCATTACGAGTATTCACGAAAATAACATGTATTGCTACCGGAGCATCCCTAAAAAATACTAAGACTTACTGCCTCATTCAAAGTGGAACTTGCACTGCATTGGAAGCCACTAATGAACTAAAAGTTGACATTTGTAGAATTACATATTTTAACCCATGATGGTTGTGGGGGAAAAAGGGACATTTCACCTACCAGACCCCATGATGTACAGCCTTTTTGTGCAATAACCAGCCCTCTAATGCAAAATCCTGTTCCCTAATAAACAGTCCCTTCATGGCAGCCACTAACTTCACTCAACAACATATTGTGCAAGTCTCCTTAAATATGTTATTTCTTTTTTCATTATGTTCCAGGCTTAAAAATGAAATGTTAAATACATGTTTCATTTGTTTAGGCAAGTATATATGAAATATTGCCTATGAATATTTATTTGCAGCCAGCAGGTTGTATTATAAACTAGGGATGCACCGATACCAAGTATGGTACTCAGTACAAGTACAGATACTTTTCCAGCTCCAAGCTAAGACTAGAGAAAAATGTAAAAGTTAGGAGGCAGCTGTCATTTGTAAGGAGCACACTGAGCTTCTGGGATTTGTACATCTCTGTTTTAATGTATGATTTTGGTTTTATAACTATAAATAAAGGGATGCACCGATACCATTTTTGCAAGTACAAGTAATGATACTTGCCCAAGTACTTACAAGTACGAGTACTGATACATTTTTGTTTATTGTCATGTGACAGTTTTTCTAAAACAATACAGACGAATGATTTCAGGACAGTGGTGGAGCACCAGCGCCAGGTCCCAGCTGCAACCGCTGCAACCCTGGTAGTTCTCATGAAAAGGCCAAGTATCAGCACTGGTACTCGAAAAGTATCGGTGCATCCCTATAAACTCTTTGCAACAAGGCCAACTTTAACCGCCCTTACTGGAAAAGCTTGTTGTTTACAAATCTCAATAGCTTGGGCTACAAATTCACACACACCTGAATAAGTCAGAGAAGTGACTCATCACCCTCCCTCTCTGTTCAGACTGCTCAGTACAGAATTTCAATTAGAAAGAGAGAGTCCAAAGACATGCAGTTTTGCTCTGCTCTCTCTTTAATTACTATGGGGACCGTTCATGGGACTGCATGGCTCAGCGCGATCTGAACCGCCCCCTTGCCCGAACTGCACTATTTTTGCCGCACTGATCAGTTTTTCGGTTTTCACACAGGTTTCAATGGAACCATGCTGATTAGCACGGTTTGCTAGTGTTTTAATTGTGTTTCAGCTCTGAAACGCAATAAAAAACTCCCAAAACCTCCCTTTTGAAATAAGCGTGGTAACCCCCCTGATCCGCAACTGCCCTGGTTTGAATGGGCTCTAAAGCTGAACTCCAGGCAGATATGAAAGACACATATTAGTGCAGCTTTAGATTTATTAATAAATAACTAAATGTATTTTTTTAAATGCCTGTACACACCTGAATCTGACTTGGTATCAGCCCCTTTCAGTCCCTGTAGAGCAGAGCTCAGACTGGGAGAGAGAGAACAGCATAAGGGGCCAATGAGGTGTGCAGTGCAGGCGAGAACAGAGAGATAAACCTCTCAGTCTGCTGCTTCTCCTCTCACTGTTCACTCACAGGGTGGAGACAAGACCAGTACCCGTAACTGAACTGCAGCAAAAACAAATCAGGTCTTTTGCCCTGCTAGACTGGGATGTGCTGTGTGGCGCGGCTGTGTATGTCTTAGGTCAAGATGAACATAAATATAAATCCTTTGGCGCCTAAAAACACCTCCCATATATGTATTTTTCTGTGTATTTAGTGGTTTGCCTGGAGTTGAGCTTAAAAAAACTATAATATAAAATGTCATGTGTGGACCCTGTATTACACATAATTGTGAAATAGTTTATGTAAATATGAAGAATAAAATATATAAGTAGAAAAATGTATATAATTAAAAACAAAATGTAAACCATAATTGACCCAGACCATTATGGTTTTTCTTTTGAGCATCCACCTCTACCCTTAGCTCAACTATTAAATCACCAGACCTCATTCATTTTCTATTCCTGTTTTAGCCACCTGTTTAGAAAGGGCTGCAATTTTAGCAGCAGATTGATGTTGAGACCTTCCTATGAGACACTAAGGCATACACATGAATGCATGTACGTCATATTATCTAAAGTATGTGTACACATCATGGTGGTACTGGCATCGAGGAGGTGCCGACTTACATAGTGTCACTGAGGCTTTATTCCTGTCCTTTACTTGAAATGTACAAAACTGAAAAGGTGTAGACGCATGGAAGAGCATAAGATAACTGATTAATATGAAAATATATCAATGTTTTTGTGGGACAAAAACACACAGGACACACAGCCAGCTTTGCATGGCAGTTAAAGTGTAACATACACTACGCTTTTAATTTGGTAAAACATTCTTGAAAGTTCATTATGACTTATCTCATTGTATTTTCACACATTTGGTAATCTTTTTTGTGTTTGTTGTTTGCACAATTCTCTAAAGCAAATTTTGACACACAAAAAGTTTTTTAATAAAATGTTTGTTGTTGCAATTTTTTTTCAAAAGAAGGTTATTTTGTTTTCACCTAGACAGACACATATGCTAAAAGTGCCTCTTCATGTGCAAAATAAATAAGTAGACATTTGAGGTAGTTCTGCAAGAATGTAGAGCTGTAATGCCAGCCCCCTACCCCCGAAGAGTTTAGGAAACACAGAGTAGCATTATTATCTCTTGAAAGAGGTCTTTTTTTTATCTTTCAATGCTTCTCACGTGTATTTTTTTTTTGTGTGAGCTTTTTGGTCAAATTTGTGATATTTTGTTATCCTCTTTTTTTGCAGTAAAAGACATCACACACAATACTGATAGTGGTATAGTGCATACTCGCTTAGGCCTTGTTCACACCAAATGCAGAGCAGATCCGCTCAGGTTTCTGCACACGCAGTGCAGTGGGTTGTGCCGCGTTTTTGATGCGTTCCAGGTTGTTTTTGGTTAAAAAATAATTTTTATTTTTTTTAGTTTAACATGGGCTTTCAGTGCGTTCCATGCATTTGCATGCGTTTTTGATGCGTTTTGATGCATTTGCATGCGTTCCAGAACAGATCCAGAGCAGGTAAAATAGGGCTTGCTGCAGTTTTTTCACCTGCTCTGGATCTGCACGCTGCAATGTGAACTGGAGCAAAAAATACCATTGGAATACATTGGACTCAGTTTTGATCAGGTCTGTAACTGCTCTGCTCTGCACCTGCTCCGCGCTTGGTGTGAACAAGGCCTTACAAATCATTTAAGTAGGGCGTAGTTAGCTCTGCACATATTATGTATCAGATTACATTTTCCTATAGGTAAAATGCCACTTCCTGTCAGTTTGTCACTGTTTGCATCTTGTTACATATGTAACTGCACACATAAACTTATTTGGTCTGTTCACTTAAATTTGCATTAAAAATTAGCAAAAACATTATACATATATTATTAAAAATAAGCGACATTATGAGGGAAGTTTATCTCAGAGATATATATATACACACACACACAGTACATATTTCACATGCATACATCAATCAAATAAATACACTGCGTATATATAAAAAAATATAAAATATCGGATACAGTTAAACGTTTTCTTTAAGCTACTGTACTGTTAAGCTAATATAACTGTTCTATAATGCAAAGTAAAGGGAAACTCACGCTCTGTGGTGCTGGGCTTCCTGCTCTGCTCTTCTTTGATAAGGACGGGGTTTTCATCAGCTCCCGCTTCTTCCTTGAAAACATCCTGAGTATGTCTTTTTTGGTCTTCCTTATACTATTTGTAACACCGCCTTTAAGCACCTTACAAAATTTGAGGTTATGATCACCCCCGCTACCCCACCTGGGGGGGTAGATTCTTAGGGGTACTCAGAAAGCTGGTGCTGTATGCCCAGCACTATTGCTGTCAGATGCCATGTGATGTTAAGATGTTTCCTTATTGGACGATTACTCTCCCAAAACTGACACAGACAGGAAGAGGTAAAGGGTGTTAACCCTTTAAGTGCTGGGACCACAGCAGCATCCTGTCTCCTCCCAAAGCTTTGTGTGCATGTCATGTGTCAGTGTGTAAAGACTTATGTGTTTTTATTTGAGGGGAACAATTGAGGAAGTTATAGGGAGAGGCTGTGTAAAGTAAAGTTATATAGATGAAATATGCACAACATATGAGAAGCAATGCATGAAGCATTTCAGTGGCTAAGAAAGTAGGCATACGAAAAATCATATAAGTTACAGAAGTATACATTTTCTGTAAAGTTGTAAATCAGTTTTAGCAATGCTAGGAAGTAGAAATGCAATCACATCAAAGATAAAATAGAGCCTTGCACTAGTCAGCCCTATGGATAAAGGCACATATTGTACAGGTGCTACCCTAGCATGATATGACTGACAAAAGAATAATTGTGCAACAATCTAAAATCGTAATAAACAAGCCAAATCTGTTTTATCCTTATGTGCTTGATCAGAGTTCACTCCCTTAGGGTAGTTATGGAGAGCACATTAAAACTGTGAAAAACAGGATTTTTGACTTGCAGTAAAATTTATTTCCTGGAGTTCAGTAAAGGACACTGCAATCGTGAAATATTAGACAACTGGGTTATATTGGACAGTGGAAAACAAAATGTTGAGTTAGTTAAGTATAACTCCCATTATGTTCCATTTTTGTGGAAAAGCAATAGTAGGGATGGATCCTAAAACAAAGGGGTGTGTCTCTTAATGTACTCCAAGAAACAGATTTCAAGGTAAGTTAAAAATCCAATTTTCTTAGTCGTTCATTAAGAAATACAGGACAGAATTCTTAGTTAACTGGGGTGTCCAAAAGCAGTCAAACTGAAGGTAGCCATCACAGCCAAGACAATGTTAACAGGCCCATGAACAGGTCAACAGTGGGGTTAGGTGAGCTCACAGAGTTGCCCAAAGAACCTGACACCAGAAGCTAGCATCAGAGGAGGCCTGAAGATCCACCTGGTAGAACTTGATGAATGTGTGAACAGAGGGCCAAGTGGCAGCCCTGCACATCTGAGAAACAGATGCATGATGCAGAAAAGGCCAAGAAGCACTAACCAATCTAGTAGAGTATTCTCTGACTGGAAAGGGTGGAACCATGCCTCTAAGTTCATAGCCTTGTGTAGTGAGCTGTCTAATTCACCTACAGATGGTGGAACGAGAAGCATGCTCACCCCTACGGGGACTCTCAAGGACAACGAAAAAAAAGAGTCAGTCAATCTGAATGAAGCCATAGGTAAAATCGAACAGAATGTACCAGATAAAGCAACAGAGTGAAACTTCCCTGGGATAAGTTGGAGCAGAGCAGAGAGATGGGGGAACAATGTCCTGGTTAAGGTGAAAGGAAGTAGCCACCTTGGGGAAAAAAGATGCCTTAGGCCTCAAGACAACCATGTCTGTGTGTAGTACCAGAAAGGGTTCCTTGCAAGACAAAGGAGCCAAAATCAGAAACACGCCTCGCAGAGTTGATGATAACGACAAAGGCCACCATGTGAGTGAGGGTGGACAAGGGAATGTCTCTGAGAGAAAAGAAAGATCCTGATAAAAAATAATGGAAGATAAAAGAACAGGGTTTGCTTTTCTCTAAGAACAGACAGCATAACCCAGTTGTCTAAGATTTTATCTATCCTGTGTCCCTTAAAACGGACCTTTACCCATATCTTTAAAACAACAACAAACACACCTTTAGAAATGTTTAGTAATGACAATCTACAAACACATAATTCTACATAATTGAAGGCTTTGTATTCTTTGCATACCGTATTCCTCTTTTATTCCCCAGTCTTCTGACAATGGCCATGTTTACTGAGGGCAGATTACAAGATCTCCTTTTACTTCCTAAAAATTGTCACGTGACTTGGACATGTGACCATGCACATCATCTTAAGGGAGGAATATGCCTTTCACTGAGATTATATTTCCCAGCAATGCTCTGCTCATGTAATCTTCCCAGGATGCAATGCTTTGGCAAACTGAAATAATTTTGCCCTTACAAAGCAGGAAGTGAATGCTCTGCAAGTGTAAGTACTTAAAAATCACAGCATTTTACACCTGACATGTATATGTCATTATTAATCATCATACAAAGAGGGATGCATTGGCAGAATTTAATTTTTGAGTGTAAAGGTCCGCTTTAATGAACAATTAAGAAATATTATTTGTGGGCACTCTGTGACCTCTGCGGACACAAATGAATGACAAACCTCAAATAAAGAATTATTACACCTCTCTTTGAGAAAGAGGGAAATTCTGGAGCGGAGATGACAGAGTAGTAAAAAATGTGTATGGTTACATTGCACTAAAAGTTAAGCATGCTTCAAGGAGCTTTGTTAGGTAGAGTCTTAACCTACCTGCAGTATACACTGCACACATATGCCACAGTTCTTGTATCCACAAAACACTCCTCAGGGCCCTTCATACTTGTGCATTCTGTAATGCACTGCAATGCTTAATTGGTGCATTCAGGCACGCTCAGCCTTTTAATTTTCAACAGGTTAGCAGCACAAATTAACACACACACAAAAAAAAACTTGTACCAGTTTTAGAAACATAGCACACAGCACATAGTATGTCCATTGTGGTGCCCCGTAGTGCTGGTCCATTACTGTATGTAAGTGGCAGCACAATGCACATAGTACCATGCATTAACATTCATTGCAGTGCTGCACAGTTTGCCATACATTACAATAACCCATAGTGTGAAGGGACCATTCTCAGGCAAGAGTCTCACACACAGATATAAACCTTAAGACAAAATAGATTTTTAAGAAATGAAAGTGATATTAACATATTTTTTTTTAAAAAGAGGAAGTCCACATTAGCTGATTATTCTTTTACAAATGATCTTTCCTCCTCCTCCTCCAGCCAGTCCCCAAACTGTTGGCCCACCTTGCCTGTTTGTGGGTATCTCCTTCAGCTAACTGGCTGCTGAGGAGACACCTGTGCATGTGAGTTCCCAGCTAGGACCTGAGCCTAGCTGTGTGCATCCATAGACACACAACGCACCCAGCAAACCATGCTCCTGCTCCTTCCACTACCCCCAGCAATTTGACTGATGGCAACAGGAGCCTATCACTCTACTGCCCTCAGTACCCTTCTTCACAACCTGGAAAATCGGGGAATGGCGCCGATCTTCCTGGACCCAGTGGCATTGACAAGGGACCATAGGCATGTGTTTTGGGATAGGGGGGCATGGAACGGTAAGGATCGTTTTTTATCTCAATGCAGAGAATGCATTAGGGTAATGATGCCCAGCATTTAGTGCCACTTTAAACTTCACCTTCCAACAAATATGCTTTCCTGCACACATAGTTGACATTTCGTCTGAGCCTTTCTAAAGAGGAACTTCACCCTTATCTTAAAAATGACAACAAAGGCAACTTATAGGTGCCCACACACGTAACGATAATCGTATGATAATCGCGGGAAATCCTGCGATCGTACGATTATCGTAAGGTGTGTGGGAGCCTGCTACTGTAAGGACGCACGACTTTTATCTTAGGAACATGTTCGAAAACCAGCCGAACATCGTACGATGCTCGGCTGGTTTGTGGCATGTTCGCAAGATAAAAGCCGCACGGGCCGGTATGCGCAAGCGCACACTGCCTGTTCAGCATTGCGGTCATCGGAAGCCCGCCCCTCAGTAGATCGTACGTTTTTTTAATTACCTTACAACCATCGCAAGACAAAAGTCTTGCGATAGTTGTAAGGTGTGTGCCCAGCCTTAGAAATGTTTAGGATTGATAATCTATAAACAGACATAGACAATTGCAGGGTTTGTATTCTTTGCATATGTTATTTTAATTTTCCCCCCTATTTTTCTCACTGTACCCATTTTCACTAAGGGCAGATAAATCCATCTCCCTTTACTTCCTGGAACACTGGGTCTGCCTCCATGAACATGTGACAGTGCATATCATTTCAGGGTGAAAAATACCTTTTCCCCAAGATCTTGCGAAATTTTGCAGATTAAAGATTAGATTCCCAAGGAAGGAACTGGTGATTAAGCTTTCCCAGAATGCCTCTATAAGACCAGGGCTACATCACCAGTGCCTCACTCCACCAGGAACTGGAAAAACAGTACAGTAATTATAGGTAAAAACAAACAATGTTTATTTACTAATGAATGTCAAATGAATGCAGAGCTGCATGCTGATGTAATTTTTAGTAAAAGAGGGTAAAGGTCAGCTTTAAAGAAGAACTTTGTTAAAACAGTCAAAAGACAATAAATGTGTAGTATGTAATGTACAGCGCATAGAGTACGGGTTTAGGAGTATGTAAGTATAACACAGCTTGCAGATGCATTTACGGTATGTCCAGAATATACAACATAGAGTATAGTGTTCAAGAATCTGTAATGTACGGCAAAGAGTATGCAATACAGCGTCATTTACCATACAACTTCCAGAATGCAGAGGTGTCTGTGGGTGCTTAGCGAGCAACATATCATTGGGGTTTATTATTACTTATCCGAAAGAAGAAGATGCCAGGTCCAAAGTTGTCAGCTCCTGGCTCTTCTTAGCGATGCCAGTGGTAAAGTATGCAGGCATTGTTGGGCTAGAGATCAGTCCGCACAACAGTGCAATATAGATAATTCCTGCTGGAAATGCACTCAGATGTTGAGGGCGATGTAACTCTTGTGCACATTGCAGGGATTTACATCATCAATGGAAGGAAAAGATGAGCAGAAGTCAGCGGCAGCAATGAAGCACTCTAGCAGGTAAGTGTGCCATATTGTGCATTTGCCATCACTTACAGCAACCATACATGTAAAAAATAAAAATGTGTTCCTATTTAACTCCTTATTAACCCTTAGTTAACCCTAATCAGCCTTAATTAACCCCCCACCCTCTATTTAAGTTTTCTGAACCACAAATATTTAAGCTTTTTTGTTTATTAATTTTTTTCTCACATTAACAATACATAA